ATGATTAAAAAAGGAGAGAAAATGTTTTGAGAATGATGTACAAATGTGCTTTACACAATTGATGTGTGTATGGATTGTGGTAACAGTTGTATGAACCCCTAATAAAATGATTAAAAAAAAAAAAGAAATCAGTTGACCATCTCACTGTTGAGTCAATTCTGCCTCTGTCTATAGGGCAACGTAGAATTACTCTGTAGGGTTTCCAAGACTGTAAATCTTTTTGGAAGCAGACAGCCACATCTTTCTCCCAAAGAGTGACTAGTGGGTTTGAACCACTAGCCCAATCCTTAATCTACTGGGTCACCAGGTTTCTCAGTTGACCATAGTCCCCTAAAACTAACTTTTACCCTGTTGCATATCATATTGCACAAACCCTACATAGGTGTAGTGATCACTAGGTTGCTCCCACTTCAAACTTCGTATGCATTTTCTACCTAATGTATTGATAGAAGGCACACTTTGACAGAGAAAAAAAAAAGGTAGCTGCTCTTATTCATGTTTCCCCATTATTCAAGAATCTTATCTTTCAGAAAACCCAAAATTCCTATCCAATTCTTTTACATTTTTTTCGACCTTCCTGATAATTTCTCTCATTGATCACTTTTTGGGTTTGTTTTTAACAGTTTTACTGGCACTTTATCCACATATCATAAAATTCAATAGTTCAGTCATATCAATAAATATTGTACAATTATTACCACATCCATTTTAGAACATTTTCTTGTTCCTTGTACTCATTAGTATAATTTTTTAAAAATAATTTTTTGGAGGTTCGTACAACTCTTATCACAATCCATACATCCATCCATTGTGTCGAGCACATTTGTACATTTGTTGCCATCATCATTCTCAAAACATTTGCTTTCTACTTGAGCCCTTGGTGTCAGGCTCCATATTTTTTCCCCTCCCTCCCTCTCATTGATCATTTAAGTCAACAATACTGAGTTTATTGTTCAGGGCTTCTGAAGTCCTTGCTCTTTTCTCTCAGCACAACAAAGACCACACATACATTTATGAAGTTACTTCCAGAAGCACTTTAGATTTCTTAAGTGCACTGTATTTGCTAACTATAGGTGTGTACCAATAAGCAACTATACACATGCAGCCCAATACATGGTTAGGTGTTTATTTATTTTCTGGTCTATACAATTTATTTATTTATTTATTTATTTTCAAGCATTTTATTAGGGGCTCATACAACTGCTATCGCAATCCATACACACACCAATTGTGTTTAAAGCGCATTTGTACATCATTCTCAAAACATTTTCTCTCCACTTAAACCCCCCCGACATTAGGTCCTCATTTTTTCCCTCCCTCCCTACCCCGTCCCTCATGAACCATTGATAATTTATAAATTATTTTGTGATATCCTACACCATCTGACGTCTCCTTTCACCCACTTTTCTGTTGTCCATCCCCCAGGGAGGAGGTTACATGTAGATCCTTGCGATCAGTTCCCCCTTTTCTACCCCACCCCCCTTCCGGTATTACCACTCTCACCACTGGTCCTGAAGGGGTCATCTGTCCTGGATTCCCTGTATTTCCATTTCCTAGATAGGAAATGTACAGTGTGCATCCTCTGGTCTAGCCGGATTTGTAAGGTAGAATTGGGATCATGATAGTCGGGGGTGGGGGTGGGGGAAGCATTTAGGAACTAGAGGAAGGTTGCATGTTTCATCATTCCTACACTGCACCCTGACTGGTTCGTCTCCTTCCCATGAACCTTCTGTAAGGGGATGTCCAGTTGGCTACTGATGGGTCTTGGGTCCCCAATCTGTACTCCCCCTCATTCACAATGATTTGATCTTTTGTTCTTTGATGCCTGATACCTGATTCCTTCAACACCTGTGATTGCACAGGCTGGTGTGCTTCTTACATATGAGGTTTGTTGCTTCTGAGCTAGATGGCCGTTTGTTTACCTTTCACGCCTTTTCTTAAGAAAGGAATCTTTACTGCTAACTGAGCAGCTTTTGAAAATACTGCATACTAGCTAGCCAGATTGGTCTCAACCCTGGCTATCAATGGTAATTTTGCCCACAAGTAGGCTACTACTTGTATTTGCTTAATAAGTGTGTGCAGAATTGGACTGAGATAACAAGCAAGCAGCTTACTAGCTAAGAAAAGCTGAGTAGTCAGCAGAGCAAATTCACCATTTCTAAGCGTCCCTGAGTTGTTTTCCCTCTATCTCAGCACTGGCTTTACTCCCACACAAGGGCACAGGATCAGTTCCTTCAGCTACTGCTTTCCTCCCTTGGTTGTTTATTTTAGAGAAAGGGAGGGTGGGGGTGGTGAAAAAAGGAAGTAGGCAGATATAAATTTAATAAGACAACCAGAAGCTTTATTTTAACCTGCTTTTACCTCAACTTGCTCTGCCTTGCTCAGGCTGAGAAACAAAATGAAACAAAACTTGCTGCTATTGAGTTTATGTTGACTCATAGCAACTAAGACAGGGT